TATATATATATATATATAAATATAAGAGAGAGAGAGATAGTGGAGGGGGGATGGAAATGCCACCTGGGCCACTCTTCGAAATGATTCTCACTGCAATGAGAGTGAAAGGGGTCTTCAACTTTTCACACAGAGGGAAGCAGTAATGAACAGTAATGACACAAAGCCGCTATGTAGCTGTAAAATTAAGGTCACTTGCTCTTGTAAACAGTTGACAGATTTTCATAGTCCTAGCCAGAAAGCATAGTTATAGCCATATTTGCTTTGCTGCTATTCCATCTCCACAATTCTCTATAATGATAAATACAGTTTTTTAAAATTATTATTATCTATCCATCAACTGTGGCAGCTCTCAAGCCAAAAACTAAATCAGCCTTCCACAGTTTTCATACAAGGCCAGCTATGGTGCCTTATTGAGCCATTGGGGTTGATTTACTAACCTTATAAACACACCACGAACATGTATACACCTCTGTAGTGTGTTACCTCCCAGCATGATCTATGGGTGGAATCTAAACACCTTTGTAGTGTGTACACACCCAGCAGGTGTGTTGTGCAAAGCCCTGAATGAATTACAAGGTGATGTTGTGTAAATTAGCTCTATGTTGTGTTGCTTGCGTTGATGAATGCAGGAATGTAAATGCATGAGCTAACCATTTTTGTCTAAAAACTGTGAAGCAGCATTATATATGCATCATGTGCATGATTTTTCCATATATGGCATTAGTGGAAATATGCTTTGAGAGACTTTTTGGTTGATAAATAAGTTTTGCTGTGTGAAAATCACACGCACCTGGTGCGTGTGTGTGTTTAGGTTAGTAAATCACCCCCATTAAGTCAGAAACTTGGCACCATGAGTCAAAAAAACAAAAAAGTTATATTATGTACATGTGCAGGTGTTACTTATATCACCAACAACTATGTAACAATACAAGCTCATCAGAGCATGCAGAACATGCAATGATCAGTCACAACATGAGCACCCCCCCCCCTCCAATATTGATATTGGGTCCCTCATTTGCCACCAAAACAGCCCTGACCTGTTGAGCCATGGACTCCACTAGACCTGTGATGGTGTGCTCTGGTATCTGGCAGTAGCAGATCCTTTAAGTTCTGTAACTTGCGAGGTCGGGGCTCCATGGATTGAGCTTTTTTTTCCCAGCACATCCCAAAGATGCTCGATTGGATTGAGATCTGTAGAATTTGGATTGAGATCTGTAGAATTTGGAAGCCAAAAATCAACATCCCAAACTATTTTTGAACCATTTATGCGGTGTGGCAGAGCGCATTATCCTGCTGAAAGAAGCCAATGCCATCAGTGAATGCCATTTCCATGAAAGGGTGTACTTTGTGAGCAAAAATGTTTACGTTGATGGTACGCGTCAAAGTAACATCCACATGAAAAGCAGGAATTTAATGTTTCCTTGCAGAAAATTGCCCAAATCACCACACTGCCTCCGCCAGCTTGCTTTTTTCTCATAGTATCCTGGTGCCATCTCTTCCCCAGGTAAGTAACACATGTACCCGGCCAGCCACATGATGTAAAAGAAAATCTGATTCATTATACCAGGCCACTTTCCACCATTGCTCTGTGGTCCAGTTTTGATGCTCGCGTGCCCAACTGTAGGCACTTTTGGCAGTGTACGCGGGTCAGCATTGGCAACCCTGACCAGAAAGCCCTAACCCCATAGTTCTCCTTTAAGGCTTTCTGGGCATGGCAAGTAGATACCAAATTGTCACAAAGTTTGGCCAAAAACAACAAGAGCACACCAAGATATTTAATATGCTTTGCCCTAGTTCCAGATAATACAGGCAGGATGTTGTAGGTTCGATTTAACATTCCACACCAGGCCATAGAGCAATACAGCTACATCTCTAAGTAAAGGTTCATCATTTTGTGAATTTACTATTCATGTCAGAGGCATAACAGGGACAATGCAATATGTTTGGCCAAAATCTTTTTTGGATAGAGTAGGGAATGGTTATATTTTTTGTGTGTCTATTGGGGACTTTTACTTCCTGTCCCAGAGACGGCAGGAGATATCTCCAAAGAGTGGGAAGAACTCTTTGAAATTTGTTAACAGAATGGCTGTTCCCATAAAAAGATTTTCCCACCTTCCTGTGAAAATGTGAAACACTTACACTTAAACATCACCTTTCATAACGGGGGAATATTCACCCTTACTGGTGACCATTGTCTCCATCAGGGACCCATACACAAATAAAAAAAACCTAACAGATGTACAACCTTTCCACATTCTATCCCCCCAAAAAATTGAGAAGTAGAGTAAAAAAGTCACTGTTAGGTTCAGGGGCAGTTGCACCCTCACACTACAGGAGGAAAAACCAAATAAATGCTATCCTTGGAGAATCATTTTACCTCTAAGCAACTTGTATGTTTGTATTGAGGTTTGTCATTCTGGCAAATTGTTTCAACTGTTCCCATTCTGCATATGTGTGCAGATATTTTATTTATGTGTGAAGAAAACATCTTGTAACATTCTATTTCTGTCCCTCTTGCAGGCAAGAGAATTAAAACGGCCTCACTGTAGGCCAAACAGGGATTTTTACAATGTGCTAACATGTTACTCAAAAGCTGCAAAGAAAATGTAAAATACATTTATATGAATGATAGTTGAGGCTTTGTCACACCTCATAAAAATCAGGTGCAAAAGGTCACTTTGTTTTTGATCATTTTTATTTTTAACTGCCTTCCTGTTGAGTAACTAATTTTGATTATTTCCATTGTTAAAATGGACCTTGCCTCAGATATATAGTATCTTGACATGTTAATTGCTTGCATACCAAGTAGTGTTTAAGAGTAACACAAATTCAAAGAATTATACGTACTCTTTTGCCATCCTCGTTGAGCCAACCAGCGTTAATACTCATTTCTTAAGATTAAGATGTTGGTACAAAATGGCACGAAGCTTGGTTCTGGTGCTCATGCAGTAGTCTTATTGCCGGTGTTCGATATCTACTGGCCACTTTTCATAATTAGATTCTTATTACAGTTCATTTCATTTTCTCCAATAACAAAATATACGACTCTGGAAAGTGCAATGACAACTGAAACAAAATAATTACTTTGTGAGTTTTCTCTGGATCCTCTGGTTTGGATTGTAGAGAAAACCAAACTGTTTGCAGACAGGGTTGGTAAAATTTGAACTTGGGAACACAGAATTGCAAGGCAACAGTGGTACCCAAAGTGGTAGACACCACCCTGACCAACTATACAATGCACACAAGATTGTTTAAAACAGCACAAGATAGGATAAAGCCATCTATAGACTCAGATGTCAGTGAGACATAGTCACACACTGTCTACTGAAAGCTACTTTGTATGAAAGATCCTTATGGGATCAGCCAGGCTGGCAAGTGCATACAGATATACAATCTGTGCCCATACCCAAAGGATCTAGACCAGTGATGAGCAGTAATGCTACAGTGCAATCATCAGCTACTGTTGCCCAGTCAGAATCACCCTACATAATAACTGAAGTTGTACAAGTAATCTAAACGACAATTGGGTAACCAGTATTCACCGTCAATAGCAGCCCAATGCTGTATTCATGCCTGGTTAAACTGCAATGCTCAGCAATCAAGTAGCTTACATCAAAAGATTCAAATAAATGCAGGCCAATTCTGAAATCAAATGCCAGAAGATTCTAGTTGTGCCTACAAGTGATCACATAGACTATATTAGCTTAGTCTTAAAGTGGATCTAAACATTTCCATTTCAGCTTAGATGTGGTGGCTGCATTCATTTTCTTTTGTTCAGACTTTTTCCCATTCCATGTTCAAATTGTGATCCTGCCAGTAACACACTTCCTGTCCTAGATTGACAGCGCTCAGGCACCGTACTCTATGCAGGAGCATTGTGGTCACCCTAGGACAGGAAGCATGTTAGAACTACAGTACACCTTGTCCTGTCTTCCATAATGTAGTGGGACATTTTCTGTAGTCCTAGAACACATCCTAATAACATT